AAGCGATGCAGGCCGCTGGCGCTTTGCCAGGGCCACGTGTGCGCGGCGCCGTCGCACAGGACGATCTGGTGGAAGGCTAGGGGACAGGGCCAAGTGTGGTTGCTCAGGGGCCCGGCGGCCTGCGCGCCGGGCCGCCCACCTCGCGCGCCGGCGCGGGCCTGCCGCGCCAGCCAGGCCTCGAGGGTGACGTAGTACCTCTGGAACTGCGGAGGATCAGGCGAGGGCGGCAGGCGAGCGGCCGGTCCGGCGGTCAGACGAGCACCCTGCGGCAGCGCCGGGCGGCTGCGGGGCGCGGCGCACGCTGCATGCCCCCAACACAAGGCCGCGTGCTGTTCCAGGTGGAGGCGGTGCACGCATTTTCCCCAGCGCGCGGTACGGGCAGCGGTTGCCGCAGGGGCCGGCCCGCTGGCTCTTCGGCCACCCTTCCCCCCCGCGCCAGGCGACAGACAGACCTGTGTGAGGTGCCAGGCGTTCAGTATGCCGAGCACCGTATGGGTCTTGCCAGTACCTGGGGGCCCCTGCGGTTGGCAATTCCGTGCGCCAGAGGCGCGGTAGATCGGCAACGGGAGGGGAGGGGCTTGGTCGAGGCTGCCGCGCGAATGGGGACGGCGCCGCGCCAGCCGGTTGGCGTGAGGAGCGACGATGCATGGCGGATCCGACGCAGGCGCCGGCGCAGGCGGTGCTGCAGGGCAAGGTTCTGCAAAAGGAGGCGTCTGGAGTGTCAGATGTCGCGTGTGTGAGCCATCCACGCAGGCGCGGCTCTGGTGGGCAGGCCGTGGCAAGAGGGGACGCGCGCCTGAATCAGGGTGAAGGGCAAGACGCGCTGACCGGACGGGTCGGCCACCTCGGTGGCGGCCGCGTACGCGGCAGCTGGCAGCGCGACATGTGTGGCGGCCAGCTCTATCGCCGTGAGCTGCGGCTGGTCGTACCTGGTGCATTCAATTTGTTGTTGGAGGCGGATGTTTCGGGGTGGGGGCCAGGCGCGTCGTCTCGCTGCTGAATTTACACACTTCATAGTGCAAGTCACCAGGATCCACCGGTGTCATGACGCATGCTTGGAACAGCAGCCGGAAGCCTTCATTTGCAAGTGGAGTTGAAGGCAACAGCCTTGCAGGCAATGCGGAGCCCAGTCGCCTCAGGGAGCGCACCTAGGGCACCTCTGCCATGCACGCCTGCACACGCCTGTTGACGCCTGCGCACCCCTCTCCCACCGACCCCGTTCCCTGGAAGTCCAACGGTCAGGAACCGCAAAACAACGGCCCCCACCTGCTGCGCAGGTACGAGTTGAACCCGGCGTGCGCCACCTGGTCTGACAGCTCAGCGGGCCACGCGCGCGCCACCTGCTCCGGCGCCACCGCCAGCACCTCGCCCGGCTTAAGGATCGGCCGCAGCAGCCGCAGGTTGCGCAGCCGCGCGAGCGTCTCGGTCTCGCGGGTCGAGGTCACGAGGGCGCCGGCGGGCGCGAGCCACCAGGTGGGGGCGGATGCGGCGCCGGACGCGGCCGCGGCGGCGCGCAGGGCCGGAAGGATCTGCAGATCGTTGATGTTATTGTGGCGAGGGCGCTGTGGCGATGGAGCGCGAGCGAGGGCGGTCCCTGATTGCTGCTGTGCATGCTTGCAATAAACGCGTGCCGCATGTGTTGAGCATGAATGCAGCTGCGCCCCAGCTAGGCATGGCGCAGGCCCCCGGCCACACGCGTGCATGCTATGCCTCAACCCTGCGCAACCCTCGGCGCCACCCATCGACGCCGAGACGCGGGCGGCCCCGCAGCCCCACCGCGCAGCAGGGGCTGGCCGGGTCGTCCGGCGAGTGGGCGCTGCAGCAGGGCCGGATCATGACTTGGATAACCCCGCTCCGCCGGTCCTCGCGCCGCCCGCCGCGAACGATCGCCGTCACGTGCGTGGCGGCCATAGACGGCTGCTGCTGCTGCTGCTGCTGCTGCTGCTGCTGCTGCTGCTGTGACACCGGGGGGGGTGGGGGCGTGCCGGAGGCGGGGCAAGGGCCGGCGGCCCCGCCTGCGGCTGCGGCTGGGCCTGCCTCAACGCAGCTGCTGGCCCCTTCTTGGGCCGCCTCGCCAGCGGGCGGCGTGGCTCGGGACGGCCCGAGCTCCCTGGTGGTTGGCAATTGATTTGTGATGACGCAGCGGGATGTCGGCACAACGTGAAGACTCTGCAACGCGCCATTCTTGGTCAGCACTGCCAGTCCCATATGTTCAACACCCGCCCCATGCCCCATCCTCCTGCAACCATGACACAATCCTGCCCTCACCCGTCGTAATCCAGCAGCCGCGTTCGCTTGGCCGGCGGCCCTGCGCCCTCGGCCCCGGCCCAGTCGGGGTGCAGCTGCTGCCCCCGGCCGCCGCGCCCGCGCCCGGCCCCGCGCCCTCGCCCGCGCCCCTGATGCGTCTGCTGCTGCTGCTGCTGCTGCTGCTGCAGCGACAGCACGACCACGTGGCCCTCTCGCGCCGCAAACGCGGCGCCGGGGTCGGCCATTAGGAGGCGGACAGAGTACCAGCCGCGGCCGACGTCTTGGAAGCTGCGGGTGAAAGCACAAGGTGCGGCATGGTCGCGCGCCCACCCAGGTGTGTTTGGGCGCTGTGCGCGGCGGCACGGCCACGGGCACCCGTGGTTTGACAGGAGCAGGATCCCCTCAGGTCCCAGCCCGGGCGGAGCAACCGCAATAACGAGGCGGCCGCACACCCGCTGCAAGAGCGGTACCATCACCCCAATAGGTCCCGCCCGACACAACATAATTGCCGCTGGCATCAGCACAGCGGCGTCCCTGCCTGCTCCCGCCCTCCGTCGCAGCCGCGGCGACGCAGCGCGGGCCCCCACCTGCCCACCGCCACGGCGCAGCCCTTCCCGGCGTTGACGCCCTCCTGCCAGTCCCTGCGTGCCCCCTCGCGCGCCTCCTCGTGCAGCAGCGGCTCAAACATTGACACATACTGCTCCAGGTCATCGAAAGACTCTGGGATGCGGTCCGGCAGCGGCGGCGCGGCGGCGGCGCAGGCGGGGCACCACATGCGGCCGCTGATGACGTCGGCCTCGAGCCTGTGCGCGGTTGGCGCGCGGGGGCCGAGTGTTATCTGGGCGCGCATGCACTACATACTACATCATGTAGTGTGGACTTGCATGAGTTGTGTGTATGCTTGCATGTGTGCATAGGTGCATATGTGCATGTGTGCATGCTTGCCTGTGTGCGTGTGTGTATATGTGCATATGTGCATACGTGCACATCCGTATTCGTATATGTGTGTGCATGACCACATATGTTTGCGTGTTGACGTGTAGCTTCGCATACGCTGAGGTGGGGTGCAATCTAAACAGTGCAACGGCGGCAGGCATGCAATGGCAGCAGCGGCTCACAGACAGCAGCAAGTGAACGCATACTGTCTGCATGCAAAAGATGGCCATGCATCCAAACCTCAACGCACAAGTCTGACCCAAGCCAAATTGCCTAATGCTTGCAGGCAGGCAAGGGCATGCAACGAACACAAAGCTACCAAGGCGAGGACAGCAAGGGGAGGGGGTGAGGGCATTTTCGAAGAGCACACCTGCTGCCTGTCAGCTGCTTCCCGTGGTTCAGGCCTCCTGCCCCAACCCCTGCGACCCCCTGGTGGTGTGCTTGCGAGGGCGGCGACGGTGTGCGCGGCCCCCTGCCACCCCTGCCATGCTGCTGATGCTGCCTGCCGCCGCCGCGCCTACCGCCGTGCGCGTGATGCTGCCCAGGGTCGTGCTGGTGGGTGTGTACAGCACGCATAGGGACGTGCTGGTGTGATTGAGCAGCGGCAGCAACGCCTAGAGACGACAAGCTGTCGCGTGCAGGGCCTCGTGTTGTTGCGACCTCGATTGCTTGGGTGGGTCGGCGCCTGGCCTCGCGCTCTCTCCGCTCGCGTTCCAGGCCGCCACGGGCCTGCCCCGGGTCGGCCATTTGTTGCGACCCGTCTCAATGAGCACACGTGTTCAGCGTTGAGCGCGGCCCCACTGCCGGATGTACTGAAGGTGCCAACAAGCACTGCGTCGCCCTGGATACACTCATAGCGGCTGCATGACACCTTATTTTTACACTGTCATATAAACAAAAACTTGTCTCATCCAGCATCTGAAAGCAAAGCTGCTGAGAACCGGAAAGGAGATCATACTGCACAATTACCGGTATCACTTCATCAGTGGCCTGGTTGAGGGACTTAACAATAAGCATACAGTGTTTTTAGGTTAATTTCATTGGCTGTGGCCGTTTGCAGCCGCCCTGCACCCTCACCTAGGTGCTGCGCCCTGACCACTGTGCTCTGCTGTGCGCCTCACAGATACTGCTGCCGGGGCCTGTGTCGACACACGCATACATCACTCCAAGGTTGCAAGCGAAGTCAAGCGCAAGGCTTAGCTTGGGGAACGCTTGGATAAGGCGTTTGGGCAGCTGCCGGACTCCGCCGTCGCACCCTGGGCTCCGCGGCCGGAGAGGTCTGACTTGTCGGGGCAGCCAGCAATCTGCCGCAACGCAGCGGCATGGGCGGGCATTGCCGGTTATGCTATGAGACGCGATGCGCCAGCTCGCTGGCACTTTATTCACCGCGTCAACATGCCGCCCGCCGGGAAGTTATGGGGAGCAGCGTGTCTGCCAGCATCTTGAAACTTGCCATTGACGAGGCTTGAGAGACCCCAACTCGCGGCCCTTGAAGATGGTACCTGGAATTAAGGAGCGTCGGGCGGTCCACCAGGCAGCGCCGGCGGTTGCAACGCCTGCGCGGCCCACGGTCTCCCCCGGAGCTAGAGGCTGTGGGCCGCACATGGCCACCGCGCGCAGATGATCGCGAGCGAAAAAGGACTATGGTGATGGCTGCTTGCAGTTGAGGACCTGCGAGCTTGCGGGATGCGGCATTCCAGTCGCAACACACGCAAGCATGACAAAACCTCCAGCGATCCATCGCCCGCTTTCGCGCGATGCCGGGCGCATGTGCAGCAAAACTTATCCCCCCCTGATTCCTCGCAACCGCACCAAAGAGACGGCTGCGTCTCGTTACATACAGTCATGCGTACAAGTCACAAGAGCCAGTCTGTGCGTGCATGAGGGTGATCCTGGCCCTTGCGCTGAAGTTGGTTGCCGGGTGGTCGCTGACCTTGGTCGCCATGGCCGGCCGGCGAGGGCGCCCAAAAACGCACCCCCGGGTGCACAGAGGCCCAAAAGGAGCGTCAAGGGACAGCTGGGTCCATCGTTGCAAATGTCTTGTGCCGCACGACCCCAATGCTGTGCAACGCTCGTTGCACTGTGGTGGACGCATTGGGTGCAAAAGAAACCAGGAAGGGCGCTGCGGCCTTGGGCCGGCCGTGGCACCGCCCAACGAAGCCAGCCGGCGGCAACACCGCCAATCTCAGCACCAAAAGAATGATGGCGCGCGACCCAGCTGCCCTTGTCTGCAGGGTGACCAGTCTGCGCCGCCCTCCAGCAACGCAATACTGGTTGGAAGTCCGAGGACTTTTTTTGTGCAAAGTGGTCAGCGCAATCCGCTGCAACAAAGAACTGAGTTGCCCCCACGCCCGCACTCCTGCCGCCCACGCATCCCCGATCAGTCACCCAACCGTTCATTGGGATCACACAGACTCGGTGCCTGTGAAACCCTTGGTGATGCACATCCATTTGAAGAGCTTTTTGCTGGCCTTGTCCTTCCCGCCAGGCGACACCGCCTGCTGCCGCTGCCTGTCGGGCCCCTGCTGCGCGCGGGGCGCCGCCCCTGCCACTGGCGCCTGCTCCTCCCTCAGATGCTGCTGCTGCCACTGCTCCTGCACCTTCCGCTGCTGCTCTTGCTGTTGCTCCTCCTGCTGCCACTGCTGCTGCTGCTGCTGCTGGTGCTGGTGGCCAGCCTCCTCTTCATGCTCATCAATTGGCTCCCTCGGCCGCGCCTGCGCCCTCGCCTCGGCTGCCGCAGCCTTGGATGCATGACCTCGTGGCGACGACCGCGCCGGCATGCACGCGCCAGTGACTCCGGCTGCGCTTGTTGGTGACAAGGCGCTGTCCGCTAGGGACACGCCACTGCCCGAGCTTCCGCTGCTGCCGGTGCTGTTGCTGCAGGCGCCGATGCTCGCAGCGACGCCGGTGCTGCTGCTGCTGGCGTGCTGCTGCGGCACGTACGCGGGGATACCGCCGCCGACAACGCCGTGAGGGCTGGATGGGCTCTCTTTGGCTTCCAGCTTGCCAGGCAAGGGCCCGGCCGCAGCCACACCAACTGCTGCCGCGCCAGCTTCTGCACTTGCTGCAGCCGCCACAGCCGCTGAGGGGCCAGCGCCCGGCGTCGCCGCCGCCGCCGCCACAGGCGCGGGCTCGGCCGTGCACGCCGGCGAGTCACTGGGGTCAGGCTGCTGCTCAGCCGCCGGCGGCTTGCCAGGCCCCTCGGCCGCCGCCGCTGCCGCCGCTGCACCCGCGGACGCCGGTCCCGGCGATGCTGGAGAGGTTGCGGCCGGCAGCATGCGCGGCGTTGACACGCGCAGGTCCATCACGCGCGCCGCATCCTCGGCGTGCAGATTCTTGACCACCCACCTGTGCCGCAGCAGCTGCACCGCGCTCGGCCGCGCCGCAGGCTCGACCGTCATCGCGCGGCCGATCCAGTCCACGCACTCCGGCGTGAGGAACCCGGGCAGCGGCCGCATGTTGTTGCGCAGGATGTTGGACCTGACCTCGTCCTTGGACGCGCCCTCGAACGGGGAGCGGCCAGTGACGAGCTCGTAGACGGTCACGCCAAAGCTCCACTGGTCCACCTTTTCATCGATGGGGGTCACCTCCTCGGCCTTGATGGCGCCGTTGAGGATCAGATCTGTGGAGGGAAGCTTCAGGATCTCGGGCGGCATGTACTCTGCGGGGTGGGGGTGAGTGTGAGGCTGGGGGTGAGGGATGACAGCACGCGTGCTAGCGACCCATGGGATCCTTTGGCAGGGTCTGCTGTACGGGTGGCGAGTGCGGACGAGGGGGCGGCCTGATGCCTTGGTTGGATCGGAACCGCCAGGGAGCCGCCACGCACAGGCCGACCGCGCTTGCTCACCCAGCGTCCCGACTGGTGAGATGGGCTTCTCCTCGTGCACGCACAGAGCCAGCCCAAAGTCGCCCAGCATGATGCCCCGCGTCGGCGACACGAACAGGTTCTCGAGCTTGATGTCGCGGTGGATGATCCCAGCCGCGTGCAGGTGCGCCAGGGACGTCAAGATGGGCACCACCACCTAGGCCAGGGTTTTGGGTCCAGGGTTGATTGGAGTTTCAGGTGCGAGTGTGCCCGCACAGTTCTTGCCTCCATGGGTGCCAGGGGCGGTCAGGCAAGGGTCCTTGCCGATGATGTCTGCAGCGTTGGGTTCTCCTTTCGCTGCGGACTCCTTTCGCTGCGTAATCCCAACTTGCAGGCGCTGAGAGGCACTGATGACCTAAAAACAGTCATTTGCTGCACACCGGGCGCTTCATGTCTGAAAATTGCCATGATTCGCACCGGCCTGTTTTGCGCTTTACGTGTGTTATGCAACGTCGGTGCTGCGAGTCCCCAACCTGCTGCCAGGCTCGCGTGCGCCGCACCTCGCGCACGACCCTCTTCTCGGTCATGGCGCGCCCCTCCTTGAGCAGCTGCTCCAGCAGGTCACCCCCTGTGCAGTGCTCCATCACGATGTAGATTTGCTTGCTGTCCTGGAACGCCCCTATGTAGTAGCAGCAGTACGGCACCCTTGCAGCAGGGCGGGGAGGCAGGTAGGGTGGTGCGTTTAGGCGCAGGGCCCCGGCATTGCGCTGGACCACAGGCCTGGGCGCGCTGCGGCGGCACCCGAGTCGGGCCTTTCGCAGTCATACGCGCTCCCCTGATGATGCAGCCCGTCCCTGGTGCCGCCTGCCACCGATCTTCCGGTACCAGCGCGACCGCTCCTTACTTTGCATCTGTCAGGAACCGCATGATGCGTGCCTCGCGTCGCACTGAGCGATGCTTGATGGCACTGATGCGTGCCTTGTCATACACCTTGAGCACCACGCCGCCGCCGCCCAGCTTGGCGCACGTCGCCGCATACACGATGCTGTCCCTGCAGGGCACGCCGAAGCGGGCGTCAGCTGCATGAGCTCGGGTACAAAGTCACCAGCGGCGGCAAGGGCCAGGTGACGGCAGCTGCGGTGTTAGCGGAGCTCATGCGGCTGCTTCGGCACCCCATGCGCCTCGAGCCCGCCGGCTTGTGTGCCCACTGCAGTGCTGACGTTGCGCCTGTGGCTGCTGCATGCGTCAGCAAAAATGCCGCAATGGAGCACCCTCGGTGCGCTTCCTCTTTGTGCCATTGGCTGAGCTCACTTGCCCTTGCCGATTTGCTTGAAGTTTGTGAAGTCGTCCATGCTCAGCAGGAGCGCTGCGCTAGCCGAGGCGCGCGACTGTGCAGCATGTGCCCCTGATGCTGAAGGCCCTCCCGGCGACTCCTGCTGTGAGCCCATATTGCAAACTCTGCCTGATTATTCTTTGTTACAGCCTTCACCCCGGCTGTACAGAAATTTGGCGCAGGTTTTCTACGCGCGCCAACCGCCCTGCTATTTCAGGGCCTTCTCAGACAGCCCTCACGTATTTTTAAATTTGAGTCCTTGTTTGTATCCATGAGATTGTCGTTGCTCGGCAGGACTCGGCACGGGCACTTGCACCAACACACCCTCAGCTGCCGTGTGCAAAGATGACCTGCACAGCCAGTCCAGTGGGAACGCAATCATCCATCGTTATAAACTCACGAACTTTGAATTGTTAAGCCGCGCATACCCTGCAGATCGTAAATCCACCCCGCGAGGCCCACGGGGACTGCTGGCCCTGTGCGGACTCAATGACACAGCTAAGAAAGCTTAAGATATCGGCTGATGGGGCCTCCGGCGTGCCGGCTTCCCCGGGTCTCAAGGTTGAAAGCCCGTTCTCCCGGGTGGCATCAAGGGTTCAGCGTCAGTCGACGCTGGAGCCTGTGGATGAGCGCAGCACGCTCATGCGGACTCTGCGCAAGCTGGTTCCCCCGCACAACGGTGCGGAGCGCAGCACCCCGCTCGCTGCTGCGGCAGCTCACAGCTTGCTGTTTGCGGTTGCAAATTGAATTGCCACTGGTGGTTGTTTGGCGCCTCCGGTTGCCTTGCAAAGAAGGTACGACTTTCCACCAATCCTTGATGTACTCGCAGCGGTGATTGTGCGGCCCGAGCTGTTCCTGCTCGGGGCGGTTGTTTATGGAGGTGCGCAGCAGCGGTCAACGGAAGCCCAAGTGGGAGGCGAGGGCCAGGATCAGTTGCACCAACAACGAAGCTTCGACGGCGGCGTGTAGGCCAAAAAAGCTTGCCGTTTGCCGAGGAACGTCCAGCTCCAGCCCAGACCGTGCCCCTGCACCAGGCCCATGTCCTCTGGCACCACACGCAGCTCAGCTCCAAACACTGCCTTGCGCCCCGCCGCTGCAGTGCTCTACTTTTCAATGGGCACGGTCTGGCTGCCGGGCAACGCTGCGTTCTGTGCCATCCTGATATGGACCTGTGCGCTCCTGCTGGCGGAAGTTGCGCGCTGGGTGAGCGCTCAGACTTCAAGACACGGGGCTGCTGACCCACCAGCGGGCCAATGGGAGGGCCAGTAGCAGCCACAGGATGCTGCAGCCGTGGTATGCCTGCTGAGTCTTCCGCGCGGTCCTGAACCCCAATTGAGCAGCTGTCGCGCAAGGGAGGGGGGCGCAAGGATTGTATCTTTGCAGCAGTCCTGGCTGCCCATTCCCATATCCGCCCCCTCCCTCTCTCCCTCAGCTGCGCCTCCCTCGTGTGGTGGGCATGCTGGGAGCGGGCCTCCTGTTGGCCAACCTCCCTGGGTCTCCCGTGGCTGCTTTCCCAAGGAAATGGGGTGTCCAGATGCGCGCGGCCGCGCTCGCTACCATCTTCCTGCGCTGCGGCCTGGAGCTAGAGTTCAAGGTGCGGGGTGCTGCGACAGAGGCAGGGGTTGAATTGTTCAAAGCTTGGTTATCACGCCCCATGAGCAGCAGCGGCAGCAGCCGCCGCAGCAGGAGCCACGGGCGGAAGGCTGTGGCTCCAACAGGCGTAAACCGGCTGTTGGGGTGGTTGTGAGCCTGTATCCGCGTCTCTGCCTCGTGGTGCAGGTTGCTAGTCATAGTGCCCTCTGAATTGACAGGGAACGGACACTTTGTAGGATGCAGCACTGCTGAGCAACAGCGTCCTCGGCACCGACGCCCCCGCCCTCCCTGCGCGCTTCTGCACGCTTTGATCCCGCCGCCGCGCAGACCATGAACCTGTATAAATGGCCCGCGCTTCGCCTGGCCTTTGTGCCGGGCGTGATCGAGGCCGTCTTTGATGCCGGCATCGCCAGCGTGCTGTTCAGCATGCCCTACACCCTGGCGCTGGCAATGGGCTTCATCCTGAAGGCAGTCGGCCCTGGCCTTGTGGTGCCCGCCATGTTTGTGCTGCAAAAGGAGGGCTGGGGCGCCGACAAGGGCATCCCGTCGACCGTCGTCATCGCGGCGTCGTTCGATGACATCATCGCGATCACAGGGTTTTCCATCTTCATCAACATCGCGATCGCTGGCGGCAAGGACGCGGCGTGGCAGATTGCGAGCGGGCCGCTGCAGGTGCGGCGCCTATGGGCTGCGGCAAGGGGCTTTGCACTGGCCGTCACGGGTTGCCTGTGTCTGCTGTCATTTTCTGCCTATCCCGTGGCGTCCGCTATGCGTTCCAGCTCAACCCTTGCATGCTGGCATGCCTCACCGCCGCCTGTACACCCTGCCAGGTGCTGTTCGGCATTGCAGGAGGCCTCCTTGCGGGCGCCGTGCTGGGCTGCACCAAGATCTGGGACAACAAGTACAAGCGCTTCATTGGCATCTACGGCTCTGGTGGGCTCACTTCTCAGATGATGGGGCCGCGTCCCGCTTGGCCAGCTGGTTTTCGCAGCATGAGCGCATGCACGCGCGTTCCCGTCTCGTCCAAGCGCGGCAGCGGCCGCCAAGGCAGACAGGCGAGGCCGGTCTGTGTTGAGACGGGCTTCAAACTTGCTGCCAGCCATTTGCTGACAAGCAGCACCGCAGCCAAGCTCAGCCCTGCCCTGCTGACATCTTGCAACCGCCTCCCTCAAAACGTCACTGCCGACTTCTCTTAGCCCTGCTGCTGATGTTCTTTTTGGAACACTTTGACATGCTGTCCGGCGGCGCCCTCGGGTCGCTGTTTGTGGGCCTCGCCACCTGCTACATGTGGGAGAGGGGCGCCCCCAAGTTCGCGTCCACGGGGCCGAACTCGAGCTATTCCCCCGACATTGAGCGCGTCATGGCCAAGGTTCGCAATGCGATGTCGTGCCCTTGCATGCACGGTCACGGTGGCCCTGGGCCCGCCTTCCTGTGACGCCGAGTGCACACACACGCCTGTCTGCATGTGTTGCACACCCTTGCCACGGCTCGGCCTCACAGCCTTGAAGGCATGCGATCCTCGGCAGCCCAGCAGACACATCTGTGCGCGTCATGACCAACGGCGCCCCTTGCTTCCCACCTGACTCAAGGTGTGGAACTGGGTGATGGAGCCCCTGCTGTTTGGCACCATCGGTGCCAGCATCATCTTTGCCAAGCTGCAGCCCTCCACGATCCCCAAGTCGATCGCCATCGTCCTCACAGGTGCGCATCCCTACCTGGCTGCTGCGCCCACCATCTCAGCGATCGTGCCGCCTTGATTGCTGTGCGGTCGACAATATGGACAATACCCTGGGCCTGTGATCACATCATGTACCGTATGTGCACATCGCTTTGATGATCACCCACAAGTTCATGCACACACACACACACACACACACACACACACGCACACAACACATGCTCACGTGTGCACCACCTCTAACCCCCAGGCGTCACCCTGCGCATCATCAGTACGTTCATGGTGATGTACGACCGCAAGTACACCCTGCGGGAGCGCGTCTTCTACGCCGTCGCCTGGACCCCTAAGGCCACGGTGCAGGCGTCGCTGTCGGCCGTGCCCCTGGCGCTGATCCAGGGTCTGATGGCGGGGCGCCCGGACTACGACGTTTGGCTGCAGTGGGGCCAGGAGATCCTCACCACCGGGGTGTTTGCCATCATCATATGCGGCACGCTGGGCACGCTCATGGTGTTCCTCACGGCGCCGGTGCTGCTCAACAAGGGCGAGGTCGGCGGGGACGGCGGCGGACGCATGGCAGCGAGCGGAGAGTTTGGAGGCCGAGCGCCAGAGCTTCAGCAGCGCTCCTGCAGGCGTGCACGTGGTCGCCTCTGCCCTGGCTGCTTGACAAAGTTTATCCGTATGGACTCGTCCCGCCACCGGGTCCCCAGGCCGTGCTGTGATATCACGTGTACCCTCCCAACCCCACAATTCAGGGGCCTTTGGTTCGCGCCCGCAGCGAGGTGCGCATCCCTGGCGCGCCGGGTGGTCCGTCGCGCGCCAGCATAGACTTCGGCCCGACCCTCACGCGCGTCACCACGACCAGGTGAGGATTCAGCTTAGAATTGAGATTGAGGTTTGATGCATGCATGCCCTGCGCACGCGCGCATGCCTGCTCATGCGTGCACGCCTGCTCATGCGTGCATGCCTGGGCATGCATGCATGCATGCGTGAGGATGCATGCATGCGGGCCGTGCGACCCGCTGTCCTTCGAGTGGGTGCGCACAGCGCGGCATGCGCCCAGGCGCCGCTGCATCCTTCCTGGGCGCAGCCATGCCGCTCAGCGCGATACGAGCCCCCGCCGAAATCCCTCTCGCCCCCTCCACCCCTCCTCTGAAACCCACTCGCAAACGACGCGCATGCGCGCGCGCACCGCAGCGGCGGCGACGTGCGCGTGTCGACCGACGCGCGGCCGATCGCCAGCATCAGCATGGACGACTTTGCGGGGGTGCGGGACCACTCCGTGATAGAGGAGTACTTTGACGCGATCGATCAGCTGCTCAACATAGTGCGGGACGACGCGGTGGCGCCACCTGAGGGCCGGCGGGAGCGCGCGCTGGAGCTGTGCAACACAATCTCGTCGCTGCAGGAGGTGGGGGGGTCGCGACGCGTGGTGGTCGGGTGGTTTGGGTGAAGGCCCCTGTGATGGGGGCTGTGAGGAGGTCCTGCGGTGTCAACAGCGCGGAGCGCTCGGCTTGCCTGGTTGCAAGCAGGGCAGTGCATGACGGAGGGCTATGCGCGCGGCGGCCTGGCCTTGACGGTCGATGGCGCGCCGCTGGCGCTTGTGGCCCGACCTCCTCCACCCACAGCCCCCAACCCCCGTCCGCCACGCGTGCGCCGCCGCCAAAACACTCGCAGCGCATCGACCAGGAGGTCGGCCCCCGCGAGCTCACGGTGCGCCAGATGCTGCTCGCGACGGCGCTGCGCTCGCGCCAGCCCAGCCTCTCGGGCCCCATCGGCGTCGGCGGCCCCGAGATACTGCCGACCATCGCCAGCGCGGGCAACCTGCGTGGCGACGCGAGCGACGGCGGGGACGGCGGCCACGTCGGGGACGGCGGCTCGGGCGGGGGGCGCGTCGTGATCGACGTGCGGCGCGCGACCAAGGACGGCGCCGCGTCGCCCGAGCTTCCGGCGGGCACGGAGGCGGCGGGCGGCGG